GAGAGAGAGAGAGAGAGAGAGAGAGAGAGAGAGAGGGAGAGGGAGAGAGAGAGAAGGAGAGAACATCACTGAAATTTCACACTCAGCTATAACTCAGGTGAATGATGTGTTTGGAAGGTTTTGCACCACATTTTCTTGACTCAAAGATTTCAGCAGGAGGTACATGCTTTTTGTACTGCCCACAGACCCATCCTACCTACTCCTAGAGGGGGCTCTGCTTTGCTTTCTTTGAAGCCACAACTAGTCGCAATCCAAACTGTAGGAGCAGAGTCACCTTCAACCAGCAGTGAGGGGCAAACAGCAGGCAGTGCCCCATCCTCTGTGGGGCAAATCACCCATGTACTCTGCAATTTTCTCAGAGGATTTCTAGTGGGTTGCAACCTTCAAATGCCCATAACTCAAACTAGCTCATTAATGCACCTGTTTTCTGTCTTCTTTTGTTTTTAATAGGTATGTGTGTGTGTGTGTGTGTGTGTGTGTCTGTGTCTGTGTCTGTGTGTCTGTGTGTTAGTGCTAGGGTTTGAATTTAGGGCTTAGACACTGTCCCTTAGGTTTTTCACACAAGGTTGGCATCCTACCACTTGAGCCGTACCTCCAGTCCAGCCTTTTCCAGCATTGGAGATGGAATCTTATAGGCCTTTTCTGACTGGATGGAAGTCATGATCCTCCAGATTTCAGCCTCCTAAGTAGTTAAGATTATAGGCATAAGCCACTGGTGCCTAGTTAAACCCATCTTTGTTTTAATTATTTGCATAATATGTTCATAGTACAAACTCACATAACAATCTGTTCACAATAGGTAGTAATCACACTGCCATGTCAACAAATAAAATTCTAAGCAGAGTCTTTAGTGTAGGTCACCACAGGCATGCCTCATCTTTCATTTAATGTATTTAATTTATAGACATTTAGATGGTCTCTGGTTCTGCATAGCCACCAGCTTGCTCATGCACACATCCTATTAGGTGTCAGGGCAGCCCTCTTTGGAAGAATTGTGGATTGTGTCATTGCTTTGTTGTCTCCCAAGTGTTCACTTTGTGTTCCCTAATTTCCTCTGGAATTTTAGTAGAGGTCAATATCAACCTTTGCAGTTTAGAGGCTTTTAGAAAAATATCACCTATTTTCTCTTTTTTAAAGAAAAATTAAGATATTTGCCCATTTTCGGGCTTTTGGGTACTTTTTTTTTTACATTCCCTGTAATTTCTGACAGTGTTTACATGCACTGGTGCCTCCGGCTCCCTGAATTGTCACTTGTCTGGTTTTTGAGAGGTGAGCTCTTTGCAGGTGGCTCAATGCTTTTTTTCTCATCACACCCGGGTAGTGATTTCCTCTTTATGCTCTTTAGCTCATAATTTGAAATGAAATTGCCTGTACCCTGCTCTGTCTGCCCCAAAACCCTAAGTCCTGAACAGATTTTGTTTTTGGTCTTTACTTAGTCTTTGAAAGCTCTTTGCTCTGCCTTTGCCAATCCCCCCAGCTTTTGCTCACTCCATGCTTCATTAAATGTTATTCTTACAAATCCCACCAATCTTTCAGCTTCATGTGGGGCCATATATGCCTTGCATCTCTAGTATATGTGTTCTTCAAACACTTGCTTTCTGGAAAACTCCAAGTGCAGTCCTCCAAGATTTTCCATACCCTTCGTTAGTTCTCTACATCAAGGTTTGCAATAATTGGAATTTCAGTTTTATGAGTCTTTGTAGTAGCCTTCTCTTACTAGCATGGATTTGTACAATATCTTGTCTTCTTTTAGGCTCACTGTTACCCTGTAAATGTAAGTTCTGTCGATCAACAGATGGGTGACAGAAAGATTTAGGCACCATCTCAGAGACATCCAAGAAGCCAACAGATTAACACTCACTCCTCTAGTTTCTTTGCTTAAATATAGTTTCCATTGTCTGCTTGAGAGGAGGGATCTGACTCTTCCCACACCCTCCACATGCTTGGTAAAATAGGAGCAAGCAAGCAATCAATGCCTTATACCATTGTCTCTTCCTGTCCCAAGGCTAAGAAATCTCCCTCTCTGTTTCCAGAGACAGAATTCCTGTCTGCGTGGAAGCATCTTCTCCTGTCTCCTCTGTGAGGTCTCCATCTCCTCCTCTTCCCCACCCTGTGTGCAGGCTAAGTTGGCCACAGTGTCTCTATAGCCAGTAGCTAAGCTGTCCCCACTTGAATCCAGACCAGCCTCTGCTCAGACAGAGATGTGTGCAGACATAGAGATACCCCCTACATCTGTCAGTGTGTCTCTCTCACACAAGACACAGAGGCACCCCAGATTTGTCTCTTTTTCCCTTTCTTAGTGTCTCTGTCACACGCATGCATACATGCACTCACACATACATGCATACACACACACAGTGTGTGAGTCAGCTCCTGGTTCTAGACAACCACGGTGTCTAGTCCTATTGCCCCTTTCCTCTCCTTCGACCCCCTGCTCTTGAGTCAGTCCCCCACCCCCAGCCCTGGGCTCACTCACCCTCCATATCTCCCACTTCTGCTTGTCCTGGTACAGTCTCCGGTGGAGGGAGGCAGCAGACACCTTTGGTGGGCAGGGGCACAGGGGCGTCTCCAGGCCTCGCTCGGTCAGCCCTGGGCCCCTGCCTGTGCTGTCTGCGGGGTTAGGGGCCGGGTGGAGGCGGGCAAGGGGCGCTTGCAGGTCCCAGGCCCCGCGGGCTCCAGCCGGCTCCCCTGGGGTCCAGGCTGAAGCTCCCGTACAGCTCAGCTGTCCTCCGGACTCTGCCGCCCGCCCGCAGCCCCACGCCTGCGGGGCTGGAGGGAGGAGGGAGGGGGCTTGCGCGGCGCTGTCGCCATAGCACCCGATACACCTGTGCCGGCCGAGGGAGGGCGCCCTGGCTCGCGTCCCCCCCACCCCTCCCCCCAGAACTCCGTGCCCACCCAGCAGCCCCGCGAAGTCCCGGCCATGACACACCCATCGCCCCCAGCAGCCCTGCCAGACGCACCCTGCCAGGGCACCCCACATCCCAGCCTCTGTCCCAACTCTCTGCTCTTTATTCCACCCCAGCCTGAGCCCCCCCCCCCCCGCCCCACCTCAACCAGCCACCCTGATGTCCAGGGCGCAGATCCTCCTGGAAGGAGATGAGAAGTAGGACTTCACAGGAGGACCACCAGGAAGGAGCTTGGAGGGAGGTCCATCAACTTCTGTGCTTTCCCAGAAGAGGGGACAAGATGTCCAGTAGATGACCCACCGGCTTTGGAATTAGCCAGCCCAGGCACTCCGCAGAAGTTTACCCTCACTGCGCCGGACTCCTTTCTGCAGCAGTGACTTTGAGGAGCGTAAAATGAGGATGGCAAAGTATCTTCCCTGCACATGCTAGCTGCTTACTAATAGGATTGGGGCCACTAATTGGATTGAGGACCATCGTACCCTCTCACCAATCCCAGCCCCAGTCAGACAACCCATAGACAGCCCTGAAGATTGGAGGTGGGGGGTTTGAGGGCTTGAACTCAGAGCCTGGGGGCTGTCCCTTAGCTTTTTTGCTCAAGACTGGTGCTCTAACATTTGATCCACACCTCCATTCCTAGCTTGTGTGGTATATGGTTAATTGGAGATAAGCATCTCACAGGCTTTCCTGCCCAAGCTGGTTTTGAATTTTGCTCCTCACATCGGAACCTCCTGAGTAGCTAGGATTACAGGTATGAGCCACCAGAGCCCTGCAAGCACTGCAGATTTTCATCATCTGAAGGAAGATCCCAGGTTCTAGACAGAAGAAAGGGAATATTCTGTTCCTTCCTTTCTTTGGAGTGCTAGAGTTTGTTCCCTTCTGAAACTTCTTATATCTCTGTGGACTAGCGGTCCTCAATCCTGGCTCATACATTAAAATCATTTGAGGTGGGGAATTGGTGTTTCAAATACAATAAGCATTGCTTACACTGGGGCAGGTCAATTGCATCTCACTTGATCCAATGGGATCTGTACCCATGGCTGGTGGAGGCACCTGAGCTTCCTGGTTGGTTTTCTCTTCTTCCTTTTTTTTTTTTAAACTCCTTTCAAAATTCTACCTTGTGTGGACCAAGTAGAGACTT